AGATTTGTCACAGGTTGGAATCATGTCAGTCGTGGGTTGAACGGTGTTGGACGTGAGGAGAGAAACTCATCTATACCTAGGTCCACGTCGGGCGCTAAGTGTGCAGTGCCAAGCGTGAGTCATCCAGAGAGCTCTCTACCTGAATTAGGCTGAGCATGGAAGTTGCCACGACAGGTGTGAGAGTGTGGGACACTCTCTACCTCAACCACACTAGGTGTAAGTGGTGTGGCGTTGGGTGTGGGCGAGATAGGGAGCTTCTTGCCTCAATAACGTCGAGCACCCAATGAGTGGCGGCGGACACGAGTTGAATGATTAGAATGTTATCATTTAATGATGTTAAATGTTGTTTTACAGTGGATGAATGATGAACTAGTTGTGTAAGTAAGATGATAGGTTTGTGGATGGTGCGATAAGTTGAATGTGTTGCAAAAGTTGTAAGTTGTTTTCAGTTGCTAATGTTAATTTATGTTATGGTTACGTGAACGTTGTAAAGATGTATGTTGTTATGTTGTTTAAGTTTACATGTTGTGAATATTGAAAGTTGAATGTTGTATGTGCACTATGTTGAAAAAGTTGTTAAGTTGAATGTTGAAAGATGAATAAGTTCTTAAGTTGATAAGCTATATAGATACGTGGGTTAGATATACATTTTAGCTACAATACATAAAAACTAAAAGGGGTTAAAGATGTTTTTAACTTAATATCTTATTGTGCAGATATATGTTGTGGTGCTCCAAGAGCCTGGTTAAACCATTCAGTAGGTAAGTTGACCTCTAAATAGGTAAGTTATTTTTTAGTTGTCCGCTCTAAGTTCTATATGGTATCCGTGAGTGGGTAAGGTTGTGGCACACGTGTATAAAGTGACCAACTAAGTAAAGTAACAAGTCGGATGCTTAGTCTCTAACCTAGTATTGAATAGTTGTGGTATTTTGAGGGTAGCTGATGGGCTAATTTCATTGGTGACTTAGTGTGCAAACTAATGTTGTGGTAAGCCCATATCTAAGATGTTCTATCCTAACATAGTATCATACTTCCTTGTTTAAGTGGTGAAACATGATAAATTAATCTAGCTTATGCTAACCATTGTTTTTAGCATTGTGTTAGCCATTATTTATGGCTTTGTGTCAATTGTTGATTCTGGTGTCATACCATTTGTTGTGATTCGGTAAGGTCAAGCCACTTAAACTTTTCAAACTAAGATGTATGAGATCTCCATAGTTGATATGCATGATGACACATTAGATGATGTACATGTATGTATGTTGATTGAGGAATATGTTGTGAATTGTTAAGCTGTTATGTGAATGATGTCTTATTATAAGTTGAATTATTTAATGTAATGAATATTGTGTGATGTCCAGTTGATATGATGGTTATGATGCTACCCTATTGTAAGATGAAATGTTTTAATATGATTATGTTTATTAAATTGTATGTTAAATTCTCTTTACTAACTTACCTTGTGTTTTTTCTTATGGTGGGAATTGCGATGATCATACTTGATATGAGAGTATGATAAAATTAATAGGATAGCTTGTCCAGTTGGAGGATATATAGTCACGTTGGAGGTGGATAGTTTTGGTTGTAGGCTACTCCTATGTAGTCGGGGTTTATAATGATGCTGACCAACACTTATGTTTATTTTGCAATCAGTACTGTATTTTGTATATATGGTGTATATATATTGGATATCAATTACTAATTGTAATATAAACTCTAATTTTTATGTATGTAGTTTAATCTTTCGCCATGTAACAATTGTACAATAGCTAGTGTAGTAACTTGTTGGGTCGTTACAACTGTAACACTTTTTAGATTTGACATTTTGATAGTTTCACTTCACGATACTTCACATAACTTTTCATTGGTCATAACCCTTCGTGGGTACCCCTTTCTAAGATGTTCATCCATTTGTAGGATCAATGACTGATCCCATAAGCCAACACAATATTTTTCAATATGCTTTGTCCTCACTCATGCATTTTTGGGTAACTTCCTAGAAGTTCACTTATCTCTAAATTGTTCCGAGTAAAACATGTTTAACGATAAAATTCTTATGTTATGAACTACTGAAAAGTAAATGCATATTAACGATACAAGTAGTACAAATTATTTTATTTAAGTCATTCTTAACGGTATAATCTCACATTTGTACAAGTCTTTAGATCTCTTTCATTTTAGTGTATCTAGATTGTTACATATTGATGGGAAACGTTCTTAATCACGATAATTTAGGTAATTGAGTTTTATAAAAAGGATTGAAATAAATTGTATTTTTTTTGGATGGTTAGGGTGAATAAGTGGTCCGCCTTGGACCATAATTTTAAATATTGAGATTAATATTATCTTTATAGATTGTACTTTACATCTGCCACACAATATTATTTATTTTCCAACTTATACACTTATTAAAAAAACATTTAATTACACGATGAATGGTGACATTATTGTACAGGAAGAGCTGTTCAACGTTGAATTGATGGGAGTGTTGTATAACCACAACAATGGCGCCTTGTTCCTAAAAAAATTCATTTTCCTTTTGGAGGAATTGAATGACGTTCATTTGATGCTAAACTAATTATAGTATTGTATACACATGGTGGTGGTATTTCAAATAGTGAATTAGTATCCCTGTATTTGATTATATTTTAATTATGATGTAACAATGTTTTGAACTATCTATATAAGATATTATTTTTTATTAGACATTAAACATACTTTAATATGTATAATTTGTAGATATCATCTAGATAAAATACAATAGAAAGTACTTATTATATCTTAAATGAATTATTATTTGTATGCTTGAACCCTTGTAGATATAATGGAATACAATTGACACTGGGATCATCAAAATTGAATGGAGAATTAGCCCAAAGTTTACACCTTTCATTGGATGTTTATTTTCAAAAAGAAAAAATTGATTCAACTTGTCTGAAAAACAATTGTCTTTTCTAAATCTCTATATACCTAATCTTTGAAAAACTATTTTGGAGCGAACTAAAAGAAGATAAACACAATCTTTTATTGTATAAGATTCTTATATGATTATGATAAGAAGATACATTCAATGGAAAAAAAAAAAAAAAGATAGAGGCAAATGAAGCATCAAAAGGAGAAGTCTAACAATCATCTTTCAAAGCCTATAAATATCAAAAGACCTTATATAGTGAAAGTGACCAAGAGAGTCACAACATGCTAAACATATTTTATAGAAAATCTTTGTATTATTCACTTGTTCTTGCATTGTAATATTTTATAGAAAGTGACCTTATATATGTCTTTGTAGAAAATAACACTTCACACATTTCACACATTCTCTTTTATCTTTGTGTGTGAGAAAGGTTAGAGTTTATTTATTTATTTTAAATAGTTGGGTTTTAAATGGAAAGGTTGTGTAAAAAAAATTATTTGGGATAGTTTTGTAGCATCAGGATGAATGACTCAATAAATAATACTTATATGTAAACAAAACTCGTATAATGAAATTTAATTTATTGATCAAAAACTAAACATAATTTTAATGATGAGTATGAATCAATATAAATTTTCTTAATGTTAATATTCATTTCTTAAAACTTTTTTTAAGTACTTTTATTTTTGTATCATTTTTGTTTCCTTCATTGTCCTTAAGTTTTTATTTGTGAAAAAGACTAATATAATATTCAACATCTTTTTTCTAGTGTCTCTTTTACCTACATGCACATTCACCACCACTAAAAAAAAAGAAGCCAGTTTCATTTGGGAAGAAAGGAGACCCACCCTAATAGCTACTTCCACTCCCCCAGATTTAAGCAACTCTTCTCTCTTATGTCATAATTAACTTCTCTTCGATTATTATTATGAAACAATAAGGTGATTTCTTTTAACTATATTATTTCAAAGGCTGAAAATTAAGAATTATTGATTGGCTTAAACGCATGAGTGAGTAGTGTTGTGGATATACAATTTTTAGATCATAACAAAATTGAGTGAATTGTGAGAGGAATAATATGGTGTATTGGATACAAGATATAACATGTAAAAATGAGATTAAACTAACTGTTAAAATTATGGTCCACCATCACCATGAAACCCCTATTCTTGCACTATTTTTGTTTATCTCTAGTCTACCTATTTTTGTTATTACGTGTCTTACAAGCCAACCATGGAAGGCAGATTCTAGATGTCATGCAATATTAAATATAAGGAAAAAAATTGTTGTGTATTTGGTCTAAAATATAAGTGTATTTTATTTTTTTTTACGTTATTCAATGTGACTATTCACAAATTATTTTTATTTAATTAAAATTATATTCTTAATGATATCTTTTATCATTAATATTAAATTTTAATAAAGAATGATTTAAAGAAAAAAAGTAATTAACATAAATTATTAATTTTTCTTATAAAATTTTAATGATAAAATGGTTACTTTCTCTTATTTCTTTTTTTGATCTATTAAAAAAATGTGTCAAATAAGTTTTTAATTCTTTAATTTTTTAAGAATTTAATTTTTAGTCCTTCTTAAATTTCTTATTAATTTTTAATCTTTTATTAATTTTTGTCCCATAAATTAGAGATTAAATTTCTTTTATTAAGTGATGATGCATACTAATAAATCAATGTTGATTTGGCTATTGATTTTCATGTGACTATTTGGTAAATATCAAATTATCACATGTAATTTTACTATTAGTTTATAGTTATAGGGGTAAAAATTTATTTTAATAACATTTTTTATTTTCAAAAATATTTTAATTATAAATAAATAAATAAATTATAAAAAAATTACACATATCATGTGATTTATGATCTATTAAACAATCATGTGAATATCAATAATTAATTCAATTATAATTTATTAACAAATGACATTTAATTTTAAAGATTATTATTTTATGAAAAAAATCAATAGGAGAATAAAAGTATAAAAAAAATAAAGACTAAAATTAAATTTTTTAAAAGTGGAGGGACTATGAGAACTTATTTAACCGTAATGATATTGACGTTTTTTTTTTCCGACTTTTTTCTAGAACTGTTTCCTCTCCCATCCCTTCATAACAAAGCATAAATGATAAGGTAGTTGTAACATTTAGCTTTCGCAGTTTGTATTGTGCACAACCCCATCGCCAGAAATTGTCAGAAGATGGCAGAATGTTGTGCGGGTCCGATGCTGTTGCTCTGTCTCTTCCCATTTTTTGCAGTGGCTCTAGGTTCTTCGCCATGCCCTATCGTAGGTTAGTGGTTATGCTTATTCCATTCCATCCTCTCTTTCATCCTGCATATATGTGATGCCCTCGAAGTGAATAGGTTGCGTATTATGCTTTGCACAGCGTGTGTTCGATGATTTGTCTTCGGATCACAAGTAACTCGTGCTTGCTGTGTATAGTACAGACACTCAATTTCAATCTAATTCGCGTCTTTTGTCCTTTGATCATTAAACCCAGCTTGCATTTCTATCTTTGATTCTTGCACGTTGTTATCTGGCTCTTCATTTTTCAGTACAATTATTGTTAATGTACAAATACAATTCAATGTTAAAAAGCCTTTTTGGGCTTGAAAAGGATCACTAACAGCATGGTTAGTGAGATTAAGCTAATTTGATATGTACATGACCTTCATTTTCGTTTATTTATCCAGATGTTTGCTTTGGGTACCGAATGTTGCACTTTTTTTCTTAATAAACAAAATATTGTCAAAGATGATGAATGGTGAAATTTTTTTTTCTTCTTAATAAACAAAATATTGTCGAAGATGATAAAGTGTTACTGGTGGTGTTTGTTTTTACTTAATTCACTTTTTTGGGTTCAATTTTTGAATCTGCAAACGTTCAGGGTTACCTCTTGTGAGAAACATCAGCGAGATTCCTCAGGATAACTATGGTAGGGAGGGTCTCTCTCACATGACTGTTGCAGGTTCGTTAATGCATGGACTGAAAGAGGTATCCAACTTAATCTTTCTGAGCATTTTCTTCCTCTTTTAAACACATTTTAAATTCATAATTTTTTTTGACACAAAATATCATATGACAATCGTGATATGAAGTTATTGCTAAAACGTTATATTAAGCAAACATGATGCCAGATTGTATAAGGTATCCTGTTTGGCAGTCATCTGTGCGGTTAATGGTGTTCAAAATGTTTATATATTGTCATATTTCCAAAATTTTCTGGAACAGGTTGAAGTATGGCTTCAAACATTTTCACCAGGAACATACACTCCAATTCACAGGCATTCATGTGAAGAAGTTTTTATTGTTCTGAGAGGTAGTGGCACTCTTTATCTTGCAGCAGATTCAGTTGGAAAACACCCTGGAAAGCCACAGGAGCACTTTATCTTTCCAAATAGCACATTTCATATTCCTGTTAATGACGCTCATCAGGTAAACCATTTGAAAGAAAACTATGAGTTTCTCCTACTTAAGTTAATTTGGTTTTGGAAAAAAATTGAGAATCATAATACCTGTTTAGATAAATTTCTCTAGAAGCACTTCTAGTAGAGTAAAATAGAAAGAAAAAATGAAATAAGTTCTCTATGTACTAAAATTAACTTATGCATAAGTTATTTTGTAGAAGCTCCCTCTTATTAGCTTCTTCTAAATTTTATTTTTTAACTCATACATAAGTTAGTTTTAACTCATGGAAAAACTTATTTTGATTTTTTTTCATATTTTTCTCTCTTATTAGTGCTTCTAGAGAAGCTTACTCAAACAGGCCCCTTGTGAATAATTTCTTTGGTGCAACCGTACAAGTGATTAGTTTAAGATGCTCCTTTTGATGTTTGTGGTGTGCCTAAGCACATTAACAATAATAAATTCATAAAATTTAGAATGTTAGGTGTCAACTTTTTAACTTGATCTCAATAACTTTTAACATTTGCATTAAGTAAGGAGCTATACGTTTTCAACAGATCAAAATATTGATAAAGGGAAAGATAAAATGTTTCGGATATTTTTGTAATTTGAATAATGATAACTTGCCATGTATGTCTATAATGCATTGATAGTTATTCTTCTTAGGGGTAGAGAGACAACATCATGGTGTTTGAAGTTTAAACTTTTGCTTAAGAAAATATAACAGGCTGGCATGTAGAGCTGGCCTTTTCTTGACAGTTGTAAACTGTAATGCGTGAGCTTATCGAAAGAGTACAAGCTTTGGTTAGGTCTGTGTGCCATGTCAAATGATGTCCAAAGAAATGCAAGTTGATTGAATGAAGTAACTCTTGGGAGTTTTTAGATCTTCTTAGTTCCATATCCATTCTGTATATTCTATTCTAACTCGTAAGATTGTTTAGAATCTAAAAAGTAATGTATTGTATGCCCAATAAAATTAAAAATATGTAAACACTGCAGAGGGCATTAGCCTATGAAAGATATACATTTGTTTTGATACGTTATTACATTTCCTACTTATTCATTGGAGATACTTATTGTTTATTCAAGGTCTTCTGGTACCCTTTTGGATTTGTCAAATAACTAAGAGAATCTGTGTTGCAGATTTGGAACACCAATGAGTCCGAGGATTTACAAGTTCTTGTTATAATATCTCGTCCACCCTTTAAAGTGTATGTGCTTCCCTTACCATTCTCTGTGTTTCGTACTTTACTAACGAGTTGAAAGTAGTAATCTTGTTTGGCTCTTCCAAACATGGTAAACTGCTGAAGCATTTTATTCATATTGGTTAGTGCAAGTGCATTATTATTTCTGATTAACTCAGTAAATGGTATCCCCCAAAATGCCTGTATTCAACTTGGTTTTTCATTTTCTGCTGATTATGTTGGTTTCTTCTCATGCTTCATATAAGTTGATGGCTGTTTATTCAAAAATAAAATAACAAAATTAAAGGAATCATATTAAATGGATAAGCTAAAATCTGAATTGCGTTCTTATGTTCATATTGCATTGTCTTTGAATAATTTGTTCTATAGTCAACCAAAAGAAGATTCTTGGTCCGGGTCGGAATCCGGCCGAGACGAGATTACAATGAGGGAGACCAGGTCAGATATTGACCGAGCTCCCTCTTCGAGGGACCGGGTCGGACATAGGCTGAGCTCCCCTTACAAGGAGACCAGGTCGAGCACAGGCCGAGCTCCCCTTTACCAGGTAGAGAGGTCGGAATCTGACCGGGTATCCTCAGCCGAGAAGTCACACTAGCTAATATTGGGTCCCCCCCCCTACCAGGGGTGGGTTGGCTTATACCCGGGACGGTACAAATATAATATTAAAAAATTGAAAAGGATATCATAGAACCTAAAATATATTCTGATAGTGGGAAGTTATACCACTTCTGTTTCATAACTTTTTTTTTTTTGTCCTTTACCTTCATTTATGCCACAGAAGAATTGATACATATATAGGTGTTTTTTTTGGATGGTATTCCACTGAAGCAAGACATTGACCAGAATCATGACCTTTTTGAAAGAACCCATATAATAGTTGATAGAAACTGAGGCTAGTTCTTTATAAATTGACTGTAGTTGTGAGTTCCTTTCTTGTTTTTGTTCCTTATTGGTTGGTTCCTCTTTGGCAAGTTGTGCAGTTGGTTGTGTATATAATTAGTACTGTAATAGAAATACAGTAATGGTATTTTCATTTTTTTTTGCTCTAGAATGGGAAATTCACATGGCTGTTTGGTTATGGAAAGAACTTGTTCAATTCTTTCAATTGGGAACTTATTCTTGCAAATATATTTTATAGAACCAGTTCCATTTTTCTAGGTGCTAAAATGTTGTCAACTTGATAATGATCTGTGGTTAATAAACATGATAGGATATCTTGCATAATATATTGTGTGAGATTCATTTATTATGCAGAAAATTGATAAGAAATAACAATAGCAGGTGATAGCTTTTCTTTGTTATCCTTGTTGCAATATACTGATATTATTAATAAATATTGAAATATGTTGAATCCTGTGAAATGCAATAGGGATACACCAGGTAATTATTTATTTATATGTACAAACATACACACTTTTTTTTATTAAATTTTGTGTTTGGTTTCTTGAGCCCCTGATGACTCCATATACTTCACGTACAATTATTACATGCTGCATTTATGCGTGATTAGATTGTGGTATTATTTAATGTTGAAAAGTAGCCTTAATTGTGGTTACCCCTTAGGCTGGAATGGATGGCTACATACGAAGGGGATGACCAAAAAGGCTGAGTTAAGAATCATATAGTGTAGCCACAAGATACGACTCTTGGGTGGATTTAGTCCCACATTAGAGCAATCCTCATTTTACAAGTTGTTTTTGTGGGCTTAAGTCCTAAGCACAATTTTTAAGATTTAACTTGACAAATGAAGCTTAACATTATGCTATTATACCAAAAGAATTGCAACTTGTCTGCTTTGTTATACCATATTTCTCTATTTTGCAGGCATTGCTCCATGTTATATACTGGGATTCACTGCCTGACATGCAAGAGCTTACTGGGTTAAGCTCAAAATGGGCTACTACCTTGATGGCTCAGCATCTGCTAGCAGCAGCTGATCGGTATGGGTTAGAGAGACTTAGGCTGATGTGTGAAGCAAGTCTATGTGAAGATGTTGCAATAAACACTGTTGCTACGACTCTAGCCTTGGCAGAGCAACACCATTGTTTCCAACTGAAAGCAGTCTGTCTGAAATTCGTTGCAAGGCCTGAAAATCTCAGAGGTGTGTTTTTGTCTTATGATTTTTTTTAATAACACAGCAAAGGAAAAAAAATGCAATATTATTAGGCGGTCATTGGGACATTGAAAGGTCTTAAAGTTAGCATGTGAAATTGAAAGTTAAATTTGTTGCTGACATTAGGGGTGTTTTTTATTCAATTTTTAAACAAAGTCTTCCAAACCAAAAATAAACATAATGTGGTTCAAACATCAAACCAAACCAAAGTAGTCTTTTGTTGTTTGGTTTGATTTGTTTTGGAGGTTTTTTTTTTAACTTTTAATTTATTTTTACATGACTTTCAATGTTGTTTTTAATATGACAACTAGCAAATTATAGCAAAATTTAATTAGCAATCAAGTTATGATCATCCCTTCAAAGTGACATTTGCATAACCAAAAGCAATAGAGTAGTAATATGTATACCAAAACATATTATAGACATAAAAATGTATTATAGACAATTCAGAGTGTGTTGAGAAAAACTGTGAAAATTATATTATTTTGAATGAGATTTTGTTTGGTAAAGTTTGCTGAAAAGCAATTTTAAGATGTTTAAATTTGCTTGGATACATAAAAAAAAAATAGTTTTTATGGTGGTAAATCATTTTAAAAGGAAAAGTTGTTGAGAAATAATCATGAACTTCGAATTTCAGCTTCATAAAAATAACTTATTTTTCAGAAAAACTCTTTACAAATTTAAGTGGTAGCCTCAAGCATTAAGTTTTTTTTTGCAAACAGTTTTTTTTTTCCTCACAGAAACAGCTGAAATGCAAACAGTTCTGTATCTTTCTCAAACACACTCTTATAGTCATGTCTTAAACTCAACCAATATATACGAGGAATATGTTCTCTCCATTCACCATTACTCTCAACATTAAGAATTCCATATGCTTTGTTTCTTGTGCTTCTGAAGATTGAATTCAAATGTTTCATATGCTTGGTTTGTTTAAGAATCACATTGTCTTCGTATCAAATAAATCAAAACTGCATATGATGGTCAGTTGGTTATTATACTGGATCATATCATGAGTTGGTGTGAGATGGTTGTTCGTTGATAATTCAACCCAGAATTTTATACTCCTTCCAGTCCTTATTATATGACAAAATTTAGAAAGAATTGGTAATCCTTTTTGTTAGACACTTAACAATTTTTATTAAGTATTAATTATAGTTTTCATCTTATGTCCCTATTTAAAATTGCGAGAATATGTGTTTCTCTCTCACCTATTAAAGTCTTCAATTGTTATTTATCACTTTTACTGGTATTGGTAATTTTTTCATGTCTTTCATGGAAATTTAATGACAAGTAAGGAGGTTAAAATTAGTAAATCATAATTTTGCTTTATAAATCTAATAAAATCAACTAACATAACTACTTATATTAGTTTATATAATTCGGTTAAAAATGTTTTATAATAATGATTAGAGTGAGTATCTTTTAAGTATTTCCTCTGAAATGAGTATCTTTCTATATGGTGGACAGTATATACATTTTTTTCCCGATTTTTTCACAAGGAAACAAGTTGCAGTGGTATAGTTTAGTAATACAATTGTACGTGTCATTTTTCTTCTTCTTTTGACTGCTCCCCTTTAGATATTTTCTGGATCCCTGCACGGGACGGTGATGCAAACATCTTTGTTTCTTTTCATTGTTTGTCCTTTTTCTCCCTAGATTTCTAATTACTCATTATGAATGTTTTGGTTATTGATTAGGTTTGTATATGAGAACTGGTCCATGCCTCACACTGCAGCGAAATTGATATTCCCCTATTACTGGGATGAACAATGCTATAAAGAACCTCCAAAAGACGAACTATGATTTATAGTCACGTTTTACACATTTTATTACTGAGATTGTCTACCGCTGTAATGTGTTTTATTAACTAGAAATTCAAAACTCTCAATACAGTTTTATATTCATTAGTTTTATATCTCTTTGAATAGTTTATAAATACTTTTGTAAGCGTTCATCGAGTCTTGGATTCTATCTTGACTCCGATGAATTTTCGAGACTCAATTCACCTAATCTTTTAGCATTAATGATGAAAAATAAAGTCTTTTAACGCAATTTGGCCAAAATGATTATGCAAAATAAGAAAAAAAAGGGGAAGGAAGAATGAATAGCAACTTTTGGTACTCTACTACTCATACAACTTTTTGCTTATAAGGGTGGATACTGGATCTAAATGTGCCTCCAACAATCATTAAATGGCCGATAGCAATGCCAAACTTTTGGGGTACCATTTTAATTCCCCCCTTAAATATTGAATATTTTTAAGAGAGAAGGAAATTTTTTGCTTGCCTTCCCTTGGAAAACCGGTCTCTATTGAACAAAAAGTCCTCTACAATTATTCTGACCTTAGAACTCTGATAAACATACTAGTGTTGGGGGGTGTATGAGGTGAAAGGATGAGAGAAAAATGATAAATGGTGTGATGAGAAAGATAAATGAGTTTTGTGCATATGGGTCAGGTTTAGACATTGGGGTCATTGTAATTTCAAATCTAGTCCACCTACAAGACATGTCATTAACCCACAAAGCGCACCATTAGCCACGCCATTTCCATATATATGCCAACATTTTTTAGTTAGTAATAATTAGATGGAAACCTTAGAGGGATGGCTGCATTTTTATTTTATTTTTAATTAGAAGTTGAGAAATAAATTTAATGGAGAGACGAAAATTACCCAAACATTAAATTAGGTAAATCAAAAAGCACTATTAAATCTTTAATTTATTTACGCGTGCATCACAAATAAATTAGTTATGAAGATCATGATCAAAGTGCAAAAAACCCAAACCAATTGAAAAGGTGATAGGCAATTAATTTGTTTCCATCAAAATAAAACTGAAACATGCATTCGCCATTAATGAGAATAAGTTTTATTCAGAAATAGCATATCAGACCAAAATATGACAGCTAAACACGTAATAAGAAAACTTATAATGAGCAGTTCCCGGCAATAGAGGCAAAAAAGAAGGAAGGCATATAGCAAATCTGATTAAAAAGTAAGCTAAAGCGGATAGAAAGATTTAGGGGCGTGCAAAATTGCAAGAAATATGAAAACCATGGTTGATATTATTATATACAATTTCCTCCGAAGATTGTTCTCTTCCCTACAATCCCACCAACCACCTTGGTCTCTCTCAACCATTCCAACCTCTCAACCAGCACATGCAAAAGCATTATGGCTCCAACTCTTTCACCTCCTCTGGCAGCTTGACTTTCCCACCACAACACATAATAAGACAGGATGGCCCTTGGGACCCCATCACCCCATTCCTCCCAATTCCTCGGCCACCTGTCTTTCCTCCTCCTCCTCCTCTTCCTCCTCACCACCCACCACCATGCCACCGCCACCAACAGCGTCCACCTCGGCGTCGTTCGAAAACCCGCTGCCAACGTCCCCATCTTCCGCGAAGCCCCGGAGTTTCGCAACGGCCACACATGCAACAAAGAAAGAATCCACGTTTCCATGACATTGGACTCAAACTACCTCAGAGGCACCATGGCCGCTGTCCTCTCCATCTTGCAGCACTCCACGTGCCCCGAAAACGTCGAGTTCCATTTCCTCTGGGCCAGGTTCGAGCGTCAGGTTTTCTTAAGCATCAGGTCCACCTTCCCCTACCTCAAGTTCAAAATTTACCGCTTCGAGTCCAATAGGGTACGCGGCAAAATCTCCAAATCCATTCGCCAAGCGCTCGACCAGCCATTAAACTACGCGCGAATCTACCTCTCCGACATCCTCCCAGGTTACGTGAAACGCGTGATATACCTCGACTCCGACATCGTTGTCGTGGACGACATCGCCAAGCTTTGGGAGGTTGACTTGCAGGGCAAGGTGCTAGCGGCGCCGGAGTATTGCCACGCCAATTTCACGGACTACTTCACGGACTTGTTCTGGAACGACCCTGAGCTTTCTGGCACGTTCGAGGGTCGGAAGCCATGCTACTTCAACACGGGGGTTATGGTGATGGACGTGGAGAAGTGGAGGGAGGGGAAGTACACGGAGAAGGTGGAGTCGTGGATGGCGGTGCAGAAGCAGAAGAGGATATACCACTTAGGGTCTTTGCCTCCGTTTTTGCTTGTTTTGGCTGGGGAATTGAAGAGTGTGAACCATAGGTGGAACCAGCATGGGTTGGGAGGGGACAACCTTGAAGGGAAGTGTAGGAGTCTACATCCTGGGCCTATTAGTTTGCTTCATTGGAGTGGGAAGGGAAAGCCTTGGTTGAGGTTGGATTCCAGGAGGCCTTGCACTGTTGATCATTTGTGGGCACCCTATGATCTCTATCGCCCTAATACTCATTCTTTGGAAGAATGAAAATGGACGGGGAGGGAGGTGGTGGTTGAGAAATTATTACCAAGTTTTGTTCTCGATCAATCTTCACGTAACGTATACTCGAGTTTGAATTTAACTTTATGACAAAAAAACATGTTGTAAAATTCGATTACGTGTAGAGATTAATCAGGACCATGATTGTCTCAAACTATGTTGAGATTGATCAGGACCATTATAGTATCAAACCACGTAATAATTTCTTGACGAGGTAAAGGGTAGGGGTAAATTAAAGCCAACTCAATGAAATCACATGTTGCATAAGGGTCATTGGGAACTGGGAAGCCTAGAAAACAGGAAAATCCCAAGAGGGAGGTTGATAGAGAGGGGAGAAATTAGAACGTACAACAAAGGTATAAAGTATACTAATGACCATTTGTTAAAACTTGTATGTTGTTATTGTTTTTGTTGTTAATTTGTTCTTTTTATCAAAGGGAAGTTAGTTAGTGACGATGCATGGCTTTTTGCAGTTTGCATGGTGAGGAAGAAAAAGGGAAGACCAGGCTTTGATTGCAATAGTCTTTGTTGAAGGGGAACCAGAAAGCAAGGAGCGATCGGTTATGTGTTTATTTTATTTTCTAATATATTGGGTTGAATGAGAACGTTCATTGGGCAATGGTTGTGGACGATGGTATCATTTGCATCAGTGACTGCTTTCCGGATCGATGAATCTCGTCCAAATTAAAGTGTCCATAAAATGATATTATGAATTTCAATTATCTTTTAAACATCTTGATAGATCTTGTACATCCTTGTTCAGCTCAATTGCTGTTAGAAGACATTTTCCATTTCTTTCATATTTTGACTGAGTGTGCATCTAGTTTACAGTGATTGTCTATAATTAATCTCATAAAATATCCACGCAAAGCTCTAATCGTTAACTAGTTTGATCCGAACTCGAATCCGGTACTTGATGGCTGACAAATTTTTGGAGATGAAATTAATTGTTATCTGAAATTTTAATGTCTAAATTTTTAATGTTGTAAATTAAAGTACACATATTTGTTTGATTAGAGTTTCTCTCTTTCAAATTAAAGGGGGATTTTGGTTTTGGGTTTTTCTTTCTTTACAATATAAAATGTTTTATGGTGTATAATTTATAATGAGATGAAGATGAAAGTGAAGAAAAAATTCGATTCAAGTGTTTGAAAATGAAAAAAAAAAAAAAATTCGATTCAAATGTTAGTTGTGTTATAAATTTCCAATGATCACATTACAGTTATTTTTAAATATTTTAAATAAGGTGTATATATTTGGGTTGAGTTGAGTTAAATTTAATTAAATTAAATTGATCAATATCTAATTTGATCAAATCAAACATCACAATTTAAGTAAAATATTCAAAAAAAAAAATTGTTTTGTTTATCAAACCAACTCACTCACTAATAGGTTATATTGAGTCAATTGAATAAAAAAAACTTAAATATTATTTTATACATTCAAAAAAATATAATAAATAAATAATGCAAAGAAATATATATATAAATAATAATTAAAAATATCATATGAATAGGTTAGGTTAGGTCACCAAATTTACGAATTTAAACATCAAAATGTATTACTTAAATTAAAAGATATCAAATTTAAAGAAGATTAAGTCAAATTTAACCTAAACAACATAAAAAAAAAATGAATAGGTGTTTTTAGGTTAAGTAGGATTCAAGGTTACCAACATTCATTAACACCCTTAATTTTAAAAAGAAACTTAAATATGTATTTGGTGTATATACAATTTTAGTTTAGGCTTTATAAATATTTTTTAATTTAATTCTTAAACATTGAGATAAGGTTTGGACTAGTTCAAAGTGATGAAATGAAATTAGATATAGGAATGATATGAGAGAGGGGTGAAACTCATCTTACCTTTTTATTATTTTTTTAGATTATATGTATATATTTTTAAAAACATTATACATCAAGTTATTAGTTATAGTTTAAATTAAATAATTTATAAAATTAATAAACAATAATGAAACTTGACCATTTGTGAAAAAAAAAACCCAATTAAGACTAATTTTATAGTCAAGTAAGATCAATCTCAACTTGAGGGACCTAAAAATTACTTGATACTTAATCACTTACACCTTTCATGTTTGATGCTTGAGAAGATATAGATTATTTGAGTGAGATTTTGGCTTAGATTGGTCGATGAAAAATGCCTAACTAGGTCCAATCTTAGCCTTATAAATTCGATCTTTATATATTTATGGTAGGAGAAGGTTTAGAATCACAAGAAGCTTGTGTCCCTAATATGTGGGTTTAATATAATAATTTCTAAATTTTTATGACAAATTTTGGGAAGACATTATTAACAATTATTGAAAAAAGAGAGAATAACTAATAAAAGACACCAGATTTTAAAACTCAACTTAGGCCGATCACTTAAACCAATCTATCCAGGACTTAAACACATGACAAGTTTGAGTTGATATACACACGCACACTTAATTTTTATTTTATTATATATATATATATATATATATATATATTCATGTAGTTCAATTAGTGATCTACTAATTCCACCATTAATTTATTGACTTAATATTTTTACTAAATAAATTATTAATTTAGGTTAAAAATTTGAGACACAAAATAGGTATAATTACATAATAATTCTTATTCACTAGATATATTGCTTATTATTATTAATTCGTACAAGAGTCTTGCATTCCTATTAAACTTTAGGAGCATATTCTTTATTGTAAACAAACAAGAATCTAAAAATTAAGAAACTTAAAAAATTACATGTTTAACGAATTTTATATTTTTAATTTCATTATTTGATTATTGTTATTATTATCTTCAACTATAATATTAAAAGAGCGTAATTTTTTTTATTTGTATAGTTATATATTATTTTTATTTTTAATTAAAAAATATTATTAGTTATTATCATAGAGTATTTTGGCTGGAATCCCTCACTATATGTAAGATGCTTATGTTAATATTCTAAAATTCCATATTAACTCCACTTTTGGAAAGTAGGAAAAAATCAAACTCAATTAAAGAAAGTATATTTTATGCCAAAATAAGATTGAAACAGACAAATGTCATATTTAATCATCATATTTAAATTAAATAAAAACATTTAAGATATTTTCAAGGGAATAATTTAAAATAAAATGTAATAAAATGAATTTTGATAAAGTGGATTCAATTAATCTAATTCATTTCAATATCTCACTTTTCTATCCTTTAAATCAGAGAAAGACATGAAGCATATATAATTTCATTAATCCAAACATACCCTAAATCAATAATATCATTGATAATCTCACAAAGTAAAGTCAGAGTCTTTAACGACTTTTAGAAAAATGGAATATATTTTAATTCTTCTATAGTGTATATATATATAGAAATGAAAATGTAATGAATAATATACACATTAACGAAAAACCCTGAATGAGTAAATTATTCACAAGAAGGACGATAATTTTGCAATAAGAAAGGAATAGTAATGAATATTATAATTGTAATTTTGTTTTATCTTAGAAGTGTAAGCACTAAGCACCGAAAGAAAAATATATAAGGTTGACACATTTCCCAAACCGGAATGCCATAAAAGAGTTAGTTACCTGTACTTCTTACTCCGCCCTCATGAATCTCTTCAAATCCGTTTTCTTAGACGAACCGGATCCTCCCCGACCCGAATCCGGATCCAACAATGCGCCGCGAGACAAAGACCCGGATCCAGATTCCCCGCCCCGATCCACCACCACCGATTCCGCCGCCGCAGACGGTTGGAACTTCGGCGGCCTCTTCAAAACCCTCTCGGCCAAATCGGAATCCATAATCGAGACCTACCGTCGCGATCTGCAGGAATTCGGCACCGGTTTGAAGAAAGAGATTGAGGTCGCGCAGGGTTCTCTCGGCACCGTGGGCCACGTCATCGACGAGTTCGGAAACACCGTCGTCAAGGGAACGGCTCAGATCATATCTCAAGGTAAGGACGCCATCCTCGCCGTTGATCTCGATTCCGATTCCGATAACAATAGCGCCAATAGGAAGAGCTTCGATTCAAATTCGGTGCGGTATAGTAGGTTCGACGCTCAGGTTCGTGCCATTCAGGGTGACGTTAACACTTACTCCGAGGAGCCAGAGGATTTGAATGAGTTCAACGAGTGGAAATTAGGGTTTTCCTTGGAGGGGAAGAGTGAGGAAATGGAGGGATTTTTAAGAGAGAATGATGTTATGGAGAGTGTTTACAAAAAGGTTGTTCCGAATAGTGTGGATCACGAGACTTTCTGGTGTAGGTATTATTATAAGGTTTATAGGCTCCAGAAAGCTGAAGATGTTAGGGCTAGGCTTGTGAGTGGAATTTCTGGGGATGAGGATTTGAGTTGGGAAATTGAAGATGATGATGATGGTGAGAATGTAGGTGAAGCTAAACCTGTGGTTGTGAATAAAGAGGTTGGTGGTGGTGAAAATGTGGATACCAAGTTACATGTTGGAAGCAATGAGGGGGGAACAAAGAAATTGGATGTGGAAGAGGAGTCAAAAGTAGAAAAGAGAGAGAATTTATTGCAAAGTGAGGAAGTTGGCAACAACATGGATAAGTCTGTTGAGGAATCTGGATTTGTTGGTGAGACGGGTGGTGGAAGTAGGGAAATTAGTGAAGAGGCAGGAGTTGCTGAGGCATCAAAGTCAAAAGTGGATGATGCTGTAGGCAAGAATGATTCTACAGCTGAATCTGATGAGAAGGTGGTAAAGGAAAAGGAGGGTGGTGATGAGAAATCTTCCGGTAAGAATAATGAGAATAATGAGTCTTCGGCTTCAGCGGTTGAAATTCAGCACTCAGCGAATGAGGAAGAGGAGGACCTTGGGTGGGATGATATTGAAGATCTTAGCATGATTGATGAAAAGAAAGCAACAACACATAGTGGTAGCACAAGCAAAGTTGATTTGCGGAAGCGGCTTAGTGCTGCGGAAGAGGAGGAAGACTTGAGTTGGGACATTGAAGATGATGATGAACCTGCTAAGGCTTGATATATTTGATGCATTCTGTTATGATTTCTCAATGGAAGTGTATGGTGTGTAAGTGTCATTTTGACATAAAGAAATTTGTGACTGTTTTTATACTATTAGAAACTGGGATAGAAGTAGTATTGCTATCTGTTCTGTCCCTAAAATGCATGAAATGTAACTGTTTCTATGTTATAGTCTCCTATTATGTTCCTTATTTTGGTTATTCATCAACATATCCTTTATCAGACAAAACACACTTATTATCCCGTTTTAAGTTGCCTCTGTCTTTTATTTGACGACTTATGCATCAGTACTAATTATGCATGACCAGTAACATATTCCTTTAAGAAACTTGGGTTATGTCTACTATATCTGGAAACAACATGAATAATCAAAACTGAATGAACGAACGAATATCCCGCAACAGTTATTTTTCAAGAAATGACTAAAATCAAATTAGAAAAAAGTCAGACAGAGTAGTACATTACAATCCAGTCACTTCCTAAGCCACAAAGTCTCGCGAAGTATAGCATTTTTCAAATTGAACTGCTGTAAGATGTTGTGCTGGGTTCAGCATAGGTAACTAGTTCCCAGTTTCCATTCATTTCGACTCTTCAGATTTTGTATGTTGATTAAAAACGCAGTTGTAATGTTATTCATGTTGATATATTATAGCAAATTTATAAACGAACGTAATTAGTTGAAGTCTGTAATTTACATGAAGTATGAATTATATAAAACCAAAAGGTAAAGTCATGAGCATCATCACACCAGTAACACGGATATGTTATAAAAATGGCTAAAACACTAATTTGGTCCCTTGTTTGTTTCAATTTAGTCCCATTTTAATTTTTGGTTTCAATTTGGTCTCAAACTAATTAATTAGATTTAATTTAGTCCCAAATTAATTAATTGGTTTCAATGTGGGACTTCCGTCTAAATTATTTAAACGGAGTTAACTTTTAGCTACGTGGATGCCACGTAGATGCATACGTGGATGTCACATGGATGCCAATTTTTTTTAAAACACCTGGACCCAGAACGGCCCGTTCTGAAACAGGAACGGGCCGTTCTGGTTGCACTTTTGGTGTTTTAGTTTTGCATCCGGAACGTTTCAGGTGCAAAATTAACACACCAAAAGTGCATCAGAACGGGCCGTTCCAAAACTGAGAATACTGCCTTCATTGTATTTTTGATAATTATGCAATTTTGATCCTTAAGATTTTAATTAAGTAATTTCAGTCTTTAAAAGATTATAGTTGTGTAATTTTAGTCTCACCATTTTTAATTGAATAATTTTAATCTCTCAAATATCATGATTGTGCAATTTTAGTCTTTCTTATTAAAAATATAATAATTTTAAAATTTTAATATATATATATATATATATATAGATAATGTTTTAAAACTATATAATTGTTTGCTTATTTAAATTAACATATATTATAATTTTTTGTAATGTATCAAATGATATATATTTATTATTACTAAATAAATAAAATTTATATATTATTAATATTTTAATATTACTAATAAATTAATATCAATAATATTTTTCCTATATTTATAAATAAACTAATAATTTGATAAATATATATTAATATATTTTTACAAAAATATAAATATATAAGATCAGATATATTTTTCTAATTAATATACTTATATTTTTGTAAAAGTATATTAGTTTATCTATAAATATATTAATAATATTATTGATATAATATCAAAAATTATAACATATGTTAATTTGAATAGATAAATAATTGTTTAATTTTAAAACATTATATATATATGTTGGATATCAGCACATATCAATCAGAATCTGTTGGAAATCAGCATATATCAATCAGAATATTCAATTCTGATTTGTAAAGATTTAATGTTAATAAGATCAATTTTATTTCCCCTCCTTTAATTATTTAGATACAGCATTTATAGGGAGAATTATTTCCCAGATTTTTAGGGATAGATTAGTGTGCAGATTTATTCCCTTGTATTCTATTTATACCACTTTTGTATTTTTCCCAAATCAGAGAAATATACATTGTATTTTTCCGCAATATATATATATATATATATATATTAAAATTATTAATTTTTAATGGGAGAAACTAAAATCGTATTGTTATGATATTCTTTATTAATTTTATTAAAAAATATAATAATTTTGAAAAATATTTTTTTATGGTAAAAATTTTAAAATTACTTATTTTTATTAAAATATTTATTTTATTAGATATAACAACATAATTAAAATATAATTAATAATATATATTTTGTAAAATTATTAATATTTTATATTTTAAAAAAAAAAAGTTAAAACCGGAACGGCCCATTCTGAAATCGGAACGGTCCGTTCTGGTTTCACTTTTTGTGTGTTAAATTTGCATTTGGAACGGGCCGTTCTGAATGTAAAACTAATACACCAAAAATGAAACCAGAACGGCCCGTTCCGGTTTCAGAACGGGCCGTTCTAGGTCCAGGTATTTTAAAAAAAAAATGTCATCCACGTGGCATCCACATGGCATCCACGTGGGCAAAAGTTAACTCCGTTTAAATAATTTGGACAGAAGTCCCAAATTGAAACCAATTAATTATTTTCGTACCAAATTAAAACCAAAAATAAAAGTGGGACTAAATTGAAACAAACAATTATTATAAGGGACTAAATTAGTGTTTTAGCCTATAAAAAAATGCTAATTGTACATTTTTGTGTAACTTTAGTATAAAAGAAAAAAAAATTGAAGAAAAGAAAGAGAAGTGTATGATAAGTGATGCAATATAGGTAGAAAAAAGGAAAAACATGTAATAACAAGTGCTTATGATTAAGAGATGTCATCAGAAAAAATAAATATGATACACATAATAATCTTAACATTTTTAATCCATCTCTCTATTACATCATTTTTAATTATACAAATTGTTGCACAGTTTATTATATAAGTAACATTTTTATGATTAATATAAATTACCAAAAATATTTAGAAAATGTATCTTCTTTTTCTGCAGACATTGCATCTGCAGGTAAATGAGACGAGACATAGCTACTAATCAACCCGATTAAAAAATGAAAACTATCCACAAATAACAAAAGCAAGTTAAGTAGATGATCGTAACTAAGCATCCTGGTGGCGATTCGTCTTGTCTAAAAGGATGATTGACTTAAAATATGATTCTTACAAAATGCTACCGTCAGATATAATTCACACTCTTCAAATTTGAAAGCTTGACTACTACACTACTAAAGCTCTTGCCGTGATTGGCAAACATGGAAAACCGTTGCGAACACCACTAGACTCTAATCTATGCAAAGGGGAAAAGAGTGAAAAAGAAAAAAATAAATAAAAAAAAGAACCAAACTGATCTCGCAGCACCTGGGGTGGAGTGGGCCGGGTTTGTACAACAAAATGTTCCTTAGGGTAGAGCAAATAGCTGAGTCATGAAAGCCAGATTTCTTCAAACCCAAGGCTGCTTTAGAACTAAACTTGTCCTTATCCTTCAACACAAATACTGGGCTCGGATGTGGACTCTCCCATTTGTGGTTCAACAGGGGAAGGCAATGTGAGAAGCCTTCCTTTTTGGGCACGTGGGGGAAGATGCTTGGCGGGTTTTCTAGATGGCACATTCCAGGGCAAAAACACCCCAGTCCCACCACCTGCAAGTTTGCGATGGTTCACTGCCACAGGACGCATAGGGGTAAGCATCACCATTGGGCCCCGAAGCATTCCCCATTTATGCATCATATCCATACCCTCATAGCTACTTAGAGGACCATTTGGCAAAGCATATGGGCCAGCAATGCCAGGTTGCCACAGAGTCATGGCACTTGTCATGGTAGGAGTTGGTGATTGGCACTGGTTGGAGTCTGGCCTCACTCTAAAGAAGGTGATGCTCACCCTTTTCTCAGGGGATGGACACATTACGTGCCTTGCCATGTCAGCACTGTTTCCTCTCATCACTACAAGAGACCTGTAAAATTGAACATGTTTGGTCCAAGTCATTTACATGTTCTTACTCAACAGTTTAAAATATAAGTAGTATTGTGTATGATAAGCTCAGTTTCCTAGCAAAAAACACATCCTACAATTTTTGTACCCAAAAACAAGAAAAATGAAAAAAAAAAATAACATTTTCTAGCGATGCTTACAATAATAATCAAAGTAAAACAAATAAGTTATATGCCTCATGTGCCAATCCTTTCATAACATTTGGATGCAGCCCTTAATTAATTGGATGTTGGAAACCAAATGCTACAACAACAAAAGTCTTATCCCACTGGGTGAAGTATAGAAGACTAGAAGCAAATGCTAACACAACTAAAAATGGCATGAGACGATGGACCCATCTCAAATGATACAGTCATACGTATCATCCCTTTAAAATATTTCAGCAGCTAAGCAGACATTTATCATTTAAGAACTTGGTATAAGGAAAATAAGCTTTCCAAGGTAAGGATGGACCCGTCTAATGTGACCCTTATGGTTATGGCAACACTGAAAATGTGCACCAGGTGTCACTCAAACTACAATCTAGCAATTGATGTTTCTAGGACACAAACAATCCATTTTTTTCCTTCCCTTGAGTGTCTACAAGGTTGTTTGTTACTCAAGAAAAGAGGAAAAGCAGAGAAGCAATCTAACCCAATAATATGCGTATTATTATATGCACACATAGTTGGATCCTCTAAAAAACTAGCACTTCACCTTATTCACTTACATTCTGTCCTACAAATGTTGAACGTACTTCTTCCTTTGTATCCAGCATTGTGACTAGAATCTTAATTAATAAATGGAAGATTAGGACTGCAAAGAGTATAAGTTCTTTAATATGTACCCCTTCTTCAATGAGAGCATGAGTGGTCCCTTGTAGTTCCCATCATTTTCACTCATAAGTATACGCCCAAACGCCATGGTTGATTCGGAGAGAAGAAGAGTGGACACAGGTTGATCCAGATGTGGTGGTTTCAGGAATGGCTGAGAAAACTCCCCCTAAAAGCAGTGAAATTATATAGATATTGCTATATGGTTATTTCATTGCTCACTATAAATGGTTATAGTACCTATTTGACTAATATCAGTTAGAACTTAAGAGGAGTAAGTGGGAAAGTATGGAAATTTACCTCTTCAAAAAAGTTGATGATACAACCATTTGGTCTTTTGTACTCGGGAAGTAATTGCCACTGAATAAGGTGATCAATGACACCTTGGAGAAGTGCTGGAATAGGCTCTATATTGCCTGTAAACAAAAGTAAAAAATGAAAAACAGAACTAAAGCAGTATCACTCTAGTTTAGATTCATTTATCCAATATCTGAGATCAGAGGAACCAAATTAAATTTTTCTTATGGTAAAGTAAAACTGTGTTATCACAATTTTTTCTTACTTTTTGCGTCCTCCTTTATCTTTCCAAATATTGGAACACCCAACTGAATCAGCTCTCTCTTGTTTCCCTTCATCTGCTTGTTGAATAATATAAAAGTTTCACCTACATGTATACAAGAAGATTCGGTTAGTATTTTGAAGAATGTAGACAACAAAAACAGCTTGCATTAGGTATTCATGTCATGTGATTGATGACAAAAAAGTAAAACAAATACAAGGAAGAAATACAGTCACCACAATGTCACAAGAGACAAATTGTGATTGTCAAAACAAACGATAACCCCGAAAAATTGTGATGATTCATGACATAAGAAATACAACATGACAATACTCGGATACACACAAAATCAATGGTGGTTTACCTGACAGTTCCCCATTCTGGCCAGCAGCATGGATTTCATTCACAAAATCTGTCAGCTTGCACAGCTCTGAATCCGTGAAAACGTCCTCATATAACTTCAACCCTTTAACCACATTCACCTGTCAATTTCAACCAGCTGTTAATCAGAAAAAGTCGGCTGCTTCTTAACGCATAAACTAGTGGGGTTATAAAAACTCTGAATCCATTCTTCTCCATTGAGAAGAATTTGTGAAATAAAGAACTTGCCATATGTCCCTTCACAGACTCTTTTGCTGTGAAACCTTTTGTCAACTTGAACTGTGAAGAACGTCCTTCACACTCTTCATGATTTGAACATATATTAACGTTCATGGAACTAGCCTGCATTTCTTGAGATCCTGCACACAAAACCAAAAAATTCCATGCAAATTTCAATACTCAGAAAAGGACAAAAGCATTTCCATCCTAACCATTACATTCACAAATACAGTTGACTTTTAACTATAGTATTACAAATACTGCGTTTCCCCAAAGTAACTTAAATGAATGATCTTCAATCTTCTGTTAACAGGCTCTGCTCTGCATATCTGTTTCTACTTGCCCTTTTACTTTATTGCCCTTTTATTATTGTGATTTGGTCAACTCTTGTCATTGATAACTGCATCACAATTAACGAGTATGTTATCGGAAATTTCACCATGCAACACTTGTCAAGAAACGTTTGTCTTCTTCCAACAAAATCGCTATTCGTTGGCCTCCACCACCAATGTGACTCCACTAACACCGCACATATATAGTGCCAAAAAAGAAAGGCAATTATGCAAGCATTAATTACATTGCTATTTTCGGAATAAATACATCCAGCTGACTCCAAATATTCTATTTTTTTTTGGCTAGAACATTTCCAGCTTTCTTTTACTCATCTTCGTAATAATCTATAAAGTACTATTAAATAAAAATATTAATATATTTGATATATACAAAATATATTTTTTAAACAAGGACTTAGAATTATTATGAAACAGATATAGGTCATGCAAAGTTTATAGACCCGATGGCTAAAGCGTGTTTGGTAACATGCACAAATCATATCACCTAATCAAAAATCATCAGATTTGGATTAAACATAAAGACAAGAATAGGACAGATTTTAAATAGAAATCTATATCCTAAATTAACTTGACTTATTTAATAAAAAAGGTTAAATTTAAATTTTTATAAAAAATAAGTTTAAATTTTAAAAAAAATTGTTAGACCAACCTATTTATTTATATTAATAATATAACTAAATAAATAAATTTGTAGTACAAAAAATTAAATTATCAATATATTTTTTTTTTTTACATTTTCGTAGTTAAATATTTTATATTCTTTATTCATATGAAATAAAAAAAAAATTAGTAGCTGTATCTTTTCATTATTATGTTAATGTATTTTAATGTGCATGAATATGTATGAAATATCTTTCGGTTAATTTTTTAATTTTTATTTTAAATTTTAATAATAATAGAGTACATTATTTTTTTATCATATAAACTGAAAAAAATTCTTACGTACATTTAAAAATATAATTGTTAATTTATTTATAATTCAACTTATTAATTTATTTAAAATTGTTATAAACAGACTCTTAAATAAATTAATAAGTTATGCTAAACTTAAAAAAAAAAATCTATAATATATAATAAATTAAACTTAAATTTTAATTTTAATTTTATAAAATAGATATAACTTATATAAATTCAAAGTCCGATATAATCTCTCTATTCTAATGAAGCAAGACAAATTTGACCGGCAATCTCAAAGGGTGATTGATAGTAACTAATAAGGATGGGTACGTGGGTACCCGAACCCAGACCCGGAACAAGTGACGTCAACGACACCATCATGCAGTCGCGTTTGGTGGTCCCGCCGCCGGTAATAAAAATCATTGCACACATTTCTAGATCTATGCTCCCAATCCCAACCTTAACCTTAACCTAGTGTTTCCTATTAATCACTCCCCGAACTAACCGTAACACCGAACGCACCCAAACCTTTTCTCATGCCTCGTTGTTCTCCAAACAGCAAACCCCATTTAATTAATCAAAAAATTATCAACCACATGCCCTGCGTGTAACTATTTCCTTTACTTTAATGTTACATCTGTATTAGTAGTTGTACTCCAAAAATAAATAAAATTCAATACAAGCAAAAATTTTATCATATGCTTTTTCTTTTGCTCCAAAATCATAGAATTGAACGTCGTCAAAATTAACTAGGCAAAATGTTAAAACCTCCACCTAATATTGCGCAACAGAAAATTGACTTCCACGAAATGAAACAGTACACAAAACTAACTTGCACCACCAGATTTGTTTTTGACAAATATCGCCAGACCTGATCACAGATACAATTTTCCTTCTCCGAGACTCAAACCATGAAAAAAAAAATTACAGAAAAAAAAAAAATCGCTCTTTTCAAGAAAAACACATAAAGTTTCATGCTTTATTTCAGTCAAAAAGATCCCAGAAAATACTTTTAAATTTTCATCAATGATAAATAAATGATCCAAAGAAAAGAAAAATGGTTAAATTTTTTCCGACCGTTTCCTCAAGGCAAATGCAATAGATTCAAAGAAATCCGAAAATTCCGGCGTTTTGATTTTGAACGAAAGGGGTGAAAAAGTTAAGAAAACAAAACCAAAAGCGGAGTGTACTAATAAAATTCCATTTCCATTGATTTAGAGACAGAAAGAGAATAGTTAGTTATAATTACCTGAATCAGTAACCTCGCTCTCGGGAGATTCATACTCCTCGTGTTCGGGCTGGTGTTGGTGTTCGTCAGCACCATTTTCAGTGGACGTGGCTTTCTCGTGGCTTTTGTTTTCCGCGTTGAGGTTTGCGTCAGTGACTCTGCGAAGCTCGAGGGTGACATCGGCGATGGAGTGGTACTTCTGCATCTGGAGGATGGGGATCCAGTTGAGCCTGCGGCGGTGGATGGCCGCGAAGACGGCGTCATAGTCTGAGGCGGAGGCGGAGGGGGAGTCGGAGGCGAGGTGGGCGCAGAGGGCGTCGATGATGGCGTTGGCGGCGGCAAACTCGCCGCGGAACCAGGCGAGGATGGCGTCCTTGGCGAAGGAGTCAGAGACGAGCATTGGGGGAGGGAGGAGGGTGGGTCGATCAGAGGGTGGTGGTGTTGGGCCAGCCGCCATGGAATTGGGTTGCGGAGTGATCGGAGCCAATGGTGTTTGTGTTGGGCCCAAATCTCTGTTGAAGAGAAGGTAGGCCTGTGAAAGGGGTTTTACGAATGAATGAATTTGTATGATGTTATTATTATCTCTTGTGTCACCTTAAATACTCCTCTCCTCTCTTCTTATGTATGCATGTATGTGTTGCTATGTTATGAACCTCTCAAACTCCTCATACTATATGTCTATGCCACCATTTCACGTGCCTGCCTAACATAATACCACAACAAATAACATTTTATTATTACCAAAATTATTAAATACTCAAATATTATACATTCATTTATTCAAATATTTTTTTTCTTCATAAATGATAAATATTACAGTGACCCGCTAATCTTTTTTATAAACTATCCTTATCATATTCTTTATTATAAACTGTAATTTATTAAATTCTCTCACTCTTACTAATTAAGATTTATAATTAAATTTGACTTATTTTCTGTTTTATATTCTTCTATGCAAATTTATATTAGAGACAATTCGTAATCAACAGAAATATAAAAATTGTAAGGCTATATTCAAAATCATTACCTTTTATTTGCTCTTTAAAAGTGATCAAATAAGTGAAAAATATATATGCATTTCATTAATAAATATTATATTAACAAAAAAAATTAGATATCAATAAATAACAACAAATAATCATATTTGTCAAACGAGATTTCATTTGACAAATTTAATGAATATCTACTTTTTTTAGTTTTTATAATATCTATTACTGTTATGTATATATACTTAATTTGTCTTTGAACTTTAATTATCTTTGAAAAACAAATAAAAGATAAATTTTAGTTGGTGGTTGGCTTTGTCTTTATAAAATATTTGTCTCCTCTTAATCTAAACTTTTTCTTAAAAAAGTTAGGTGCAGAAATTAAATAAAATATGAAATTATTAACATTTATAGTTTTAATAAATTTTAATTAATAATAAGCAAAGTATTAATAAAAGGTATATATATGTTAATATTTTTCTTCATAAATTTTTTTGAATGTTTGTTAATGTATTATATTTATGATACTCGCGTAAATAGGAATTATGAAATTCATTATGTATATTAAATACGAATTGTTATTTTTTGTTGGAGTGTTTTTAAAAAGAATTCTTCGATAAAAGAGTTTATAAAGATTTGTATAAATTTTTTTTATCTAATTTAATTTTTATTTATTAAAATTATTTAAAAATTAATATTTTAAAATAAATTATCAATAAATAAAAATAAACTTATAATATAATATAAATTATTTATCATGAATTAAAATATAATTTATATATTTAAAATATTTATTTATATAAATTTTAAATATAATTTTTTTCATATAATTTATTATAAATTTTATTATATATAATAGACAGAGATATACATTGCATGCTAAAATACTGGTACCTTATTATTCTAGAAACCAACACTGACGTAAATGATTGTTGACCCTTTTAGTATTTACAATTAATCTTATTTTTGGGTTGACCATTACTACTTGCAGTATTAGTATATCATTAAAATAAAATAAAATAATACTCTTTTTCATTTCTTAACAAATATTGTGTAAGAAATTATATTATTTTAGTTTTGCAATATAATATTAAATAAAATTATTTATAATCTAAAAATAATATTTTTTAGAAAATTATGATTTTGTAAAATTATTATTCTCACTACTAGAAAAATGTTATTTTCTTGTAAATTTTCTTATAAAAAATATTCGCATAAATTTTTTGCGAATTTTTTTGCGATAATAATTTCACAAATTTTTTTACGAATTTATTTTTGAAAAATAATTTACAAATATTTCTTACAATTTTTTTATGAAAAATAATCTACAAGAAATTTGT